TCAAAGTAAAATGTACTTTCAAATAGTATTAAAAAATATGCTTTAATGTTAGACAAGATTTGTTTTCAATAGTAGAAGAAAAAATTATTTCTTGATGCAAGTTGGTGATCCATTTAAAAATAATGGAAATTAACGGTCCAATTGTTTTTTTACTAAAATTATTATTTTTAGTTTTTAAAATTTACTCATTTTTCATATTTATGATCTTCATGTTAGATATTACATGTCCTTAAAAATTAAATCCAAAAATCCATCTCAAAAATAGATTTATTAATAAGCTCGCATTTCTACACATGTAGGCTTAGCCGCATAGAGACCAAGTTCTATTGGAAATCTTTGTGATAGCCTTAAAAATATATTTGTATCTCTAATTATATGATTTAAAACTTAAAAACTAATGTAGATCAAGCAAATCGATGAAAACTTAAAAATCAAAAAAATTGACGATCCAAAAAAGCATTACAAGATGCACTATTTCCAAAACTTTAAATCCATTTTTTCCTCATGTCCATGCATCTTGATCGCGATGATCAATTTGATGATACTTGAGCATCAAAACAACCTCTTCTGGTTAAAATTTTGAAGTGCGCTTTGATTTGATTGTTTAGAGCCTTGGCGCTATACAAATTTTTTCCTTTATTAAAACAACCTCTTATTGGGAAAAATTTTTGAGCTGAGCTCTAATTTGATTGTTTAGAGCCTCTGCTCTATACAAACTTTTTCTTTTATTAAAAACATATTTTATTGTTTTTCTATGTTGCTCTATTAAAATTGGGTATGGTTTGTGTAAGGTAGAGTCTCTAAACTATCAAAATAGGGTGCACATTTAAATAGTGCCGAAATATGTTGTTTTAATATTAAAAATCTTTATGACGACATGGAAATTTGTTTTTATCTCTAATAATAAAATTAATTTAAAGTTAAAAAATAATGTAGATCGAGCAGATCTATGAACACATGAAAATCTTGAAAATTGACGGTCTAGATAATGCATTACAAGATGCATTATTTTTAATTTTTGAAATTATTTTTTCTTATATGTATATATCTTGAGGTTTAGATGATCGAATTGATGGGTTTTCAGCATCAAAACAACCGTTTTTAACGAATTTTTGAGGTGTGTTGTAATGTGATTGTTTAGAGCTTCGCACTTACATAAATTTTTGGAAAAATTTCGTATAGAATCTTAATTCTTCATATTATTTCATAATAGACCATCATTTCGTTTTTCTTTCAAACGACATACGGAAATCCCTAAAGATTTCACCATACCCCTCATCTCCTATCCTTTTTTTTTTATTGATTTTTAACCATAAAAATTAGCCTCAACAAATCTTTTTAAACAAAATATCCTATTATCTCCTATTTTTTACTTCTATATCTCATTAAACCCGAGAATTGAAAATATTACTTGTAAGCAAAAAGATTCCATATTTTCTATCTTCCAATCCCCTAAATCCTTTTGATCATGTATTATTGTCTCTCTCTCTAAAACTCCATCTCTCTAACATTATCGGCTCTCTCTCAAAACTTCATCTCTCTTTCTAAACCCAAACTCCATCTCTCTCGAAAACTCCATCTCCCTCTTACACATAAGAATGTGTACTCGTGTTCGAGCTCAAGCTAAACCCCTTGGCTGGTGAACTCATCGAGAAACGAAAAGAGAGATGGAGGTTTAGAGGAAGAGAGACGGAGTTTGAATAAGGTATCATTTCTTGGGTCATATGAAATATGAGATATGGAAGTTTAAAAATGAGGGATAAAGAGATATTTTCTCATTTTTTTATACCATTTCAAATAAAAAACCTTTTCAACATGCGGAAGGGAAAGAAAGTGCTAAAAAAAGATTTTTGAATGAAATTGTATAAAAAAATTTGTTGGAACATGGTCAAATGTTAATAAAAGAGAGAGGTAAAAGATATGGGATAAGATGAAATGAAGGTCAAATTTTAATAAAAGAGAACGATATAAGTTGAGGGTCAAGATGAAATATTTAAAAATTTCCTAAGAAGCTTAAAAGGAAAACGGAAAGAGGTTTACTATGGAATAATACGAGAAATCACGTACTGTACCAAATTTTCCCTAAATTTTTTTCTCCAAAAAATTTGAGGTCCTAAACTTATACTTTTACCCGAGGGAGTACATGGACTGTGCTCCCGCCGGAGCAGAAAATCCAAAAACTCTGCAATTTAGCTGAAAGCAACCTTTGTTTTTTAAAAGGTCACAAATTTTAGGGCAATCGCCGAAATCAACAGTGAAGTACCCGAAATTTCAGCCAAAATTTCAGTCATTTGGCCTAACCGAGATATGCTTAAAAATTTTCGCACTATGTCCCCGCATTTCACCGCTTTCGCAGAACCGAAATTTCATCAAAACTCAATGAAACAATAAAACCAGAGGAAAAAAAAAGAAAAAAGAAAGAAAGGGAGGCCGAAACCCTTACCCGAAACCATTTTCAGCGTAATACGGCAAATTCGAGAGCAAAGTTTCGTCAATGTCGAAAACCCAAACGTCTTTTCCATCCCCCAAAATGCTAATATTTCGGGCGAAATTTTCTGCTTCTCCCGAAACAATCTCTGAATCTGATTCATATCTGTCCCCTGTCATATAAACACCAACATATTCCTGACACTTGTCAGGGACTTTTTTCCATTCTCGGAGATTGTTAGTTTCAACAGCGAATCTCCAGCTATCACAGACGAACCCGGTATCCTTTCCGGTTTCCCGGCCGCCGGGAATGTCGTATTGGCGGTTTCTCAGCATGATTTGGCGTATTTTCCTGTCATCGGTGAAGTCGTCGGTGAGGGACTGCCAGTTTCCCGCAAGGCCTTCGAGGGCTTCCTTCACGATTTGGCGGATTTCGCGGCCATTGACGGCTACGAAGATGGCCGGGATAAGGAGGAAGAGGAGGCTTTTCATGACGGAAAACCACGTATGGTATTTTAGATATTTGTCTAGGGGTTTCGTGTGAAATCATTGAGGAGGGAAAAGGTTTATAATGATTTCATTTTGCTATGGGTAAAACTAAATTGGAACAAATTTAGTGCACTGACGGAACCACCGTATACAGAATGATCTGGAACTCACAGTTGCTAAGTTCTCAAAGTTCTCAAACCGTAGGTCCGAGTAGGAGTGTAAATGGCTCGGGTCGGTTCCAAATCCTTGAATCGGAAGCCTACCTATCTGGCGTGTCTGGGGCTAGATTAAAAAAACTGTATTTTCATATAATTATTTTATATTATATATGGACTGGTTTCCATGCAACCTGTATATGTAGAAATACGGGATTATTAATAAATCTATTTTTAAGATGGGTTTTTGGACTTAATTTTTAAAGGCATATAATCTCTCACATGGAGATCATGAATATGAACAAATAAATAAATTTTAAAAACTAAAAATAATAATTCTAGTATGAAAACATTTAGATTGTTAGTTTCCATTGTTTTTAGATGGAACACCTATTTACATCCATCTTTAAAATGGATGTCTTACATTTTTTAGACCACATGAAACAATTTTCCATTATATATATATATATATATATATATATTGACAAAATGGTTGTTATACATATAAAGAGATAAAGACTATTGACAAAATGGGTTGTTATACATATAAAGAGATAAAGATGATACAGAGAAAGAAAGTGGGTTGTTAAGCATATGGGTAATCAAGAAAAGTGGGGAGCTCTTATGTTTGCTCTTGCTCTTATTTGTAGGCCTTGGTACTTATTCCCTTGCCATGATGGTATTTTGAGTAGGTTTTGCATCGAGCACTGAGTATTTCTCCCTGCTTATGTATGTGGTTGTCTTCTATCTCTATAACTCTCTCAATATAACTAACTCTCTCAATATAACTGTGTAGGCTTTTATTCCAATATGGCAAAAAGGAAAGAAAAGAAAGAAAGAAATTATGAAAAAAAATAAAACCATTTCATAAATCAAATAATGTTACAAAAGCACCAATAGACATAAGAGAAAAGGACTATGATAATTAATTGTAGTGATAAGGCATTCTTTATCATATTCTTGTTGGGCATCCATCCCATGAGGGAGTGATACCAATGAAATTGTTCATTTTGTTAAAAAAGTAATTTGGGAATACGGAAAAAAGTGATTTGTTGACTAAGTCTTCATTCCATAATAATAAGATCAGACATGATAGTTTTTATTACGATTTAAAAAAAAAAAAAAAAAAGATCTCATATGATAGTTATTGTTTCGAGAAAATATTTTTCGAATCTTCTTCAAAAAAAGAAATAGAGATGAAACACCTTTTTAGGAGCAATTTTCCCTTATTAATATACCTTATCACGTACTCATTTTCTCTCATTCTACATGAATTATATTTTTAAAACAAAAGTTGAATAAAGGTTTCCAATATAGGTTCATATTTTTTCATCAATGCTTTTATAATTAATTTAGAGGCTTCGTAATATTTGAATACCTTAATCAAATCGTCTGCATGAAAGTAGGCAATGTGCTTTTTTGCTAGTTTGTCATCTTCTATCTATTTATCAAATTGTCTTCTACTATGGGCAGTAGGGCTTTAACCCTATTCACATTTAGTAAAGCACAACATAGAATCAATTTTATCTTGAATTAAAATATAATTCATTTTCTTTTTCTACATATTAAAGTTTGTCCAGTTAAGTTTTTCTGTTTTAGACAATTCACTCGTTACCATTCTCGCAGCTATATTACCAAACTAGTACATAAATATCAATGAAATTCAAGGTTTTGAACAACTGACCACTTTCTTGGTAGATAATTTACCGACTTTTCAGATGGTGAAGGCGGCAGGTATTTTTCGATGGTGGGTCACCGATCCCCTTGAGTCGTGCAGCATTGTAGTAGGCTCAAAGGAATCACCAATGACTGGGGGTTAGCTGTTGTTTATATGGTTATGGCTTTATGTCAAACAATTGGCATACCAGGCGAAAAACAATCTGTGCAAGAAAAATGTTTTGCCAAATTTCAGCCCAAAAAAAATAAATTCTTTCTCTATGATGGACTGAATTTCAGCACAAGTAAAATAAGGTTTATTTTCTTTCTAAAACAAGGATTTGATTTCTTTATTGTCTCAAGTACCTATATCTTGAAACGAACAGTAACAGGTGTTGATGGAGCAGGAATAAGTAGTGGATGACGGGGTTAGAGAGAGAGAGAGAGCAACATGAGCGTAGCTTCGAGAAAAAAGACTATGAGACTCGGTGAGTCGTAGTCCCCTCAAAGAAATAGAATAAAACTTGGTGACGGACATGATCATGGAGTGTTAGCATCTTGTTTTTTTTTCTTGTTTTTTGAGTCATCACAATACAATAAATTTTATGTTTACTCATCCAATCAGCAACTCAAGGCGTGAGCCCCGGAAAAATCATAGAGAGACCAATCCAATCGTGCTCTCATAACGGTGATGGAACTGAACTTAGGGTGGAGAGAAAGAAGGTCCGGATGAGTGTAGGAAAAATCCAACGGTTCAAATTGTAACCGGTGGTTAAAAAAATTTTAAAAATACTTCTAGACACAAATCCATTATTTAAAATCTATTATTTTGTTTAATCATTTGAATATACTTTATTTTTTGTGTTTTTTTAATATTTTTGGTACTGCTTGAGATTTATATGGTTAGGCCGGTTGAACCGCTTCTAATCTCATGTCCAGTTAACTGTTCTGATTCAATTTTTTCTACACCGGTATAGATAGAGAAAATGGGTTGTTAAGCACATGAATAAATAACCAAAAATGGCAAGAAGCTCTTGTGTTTGCTCGTATATGCTTTACAGTGGGGTAGCTAACTCCCGTTTATAGGCCCGGGTGTTTATGTTTGCTCGTATATGTTCTACATTGGGGTAGCTAACCCTTATTTATAGGCCTTAGTGCTTATTCCCGCCTTGTAGGAGGCCGCTTTTGCATGGTTAAGCCGGTTGAATCGTTTCCTGTCCAGTTAACAGTTCTGATTCGATTTTTTCTACACTGGTATAATTATTAGATTTTATTTTGTATTTTTTTATGTTTTTTTAACTTTTTTTTTTTTATTTTGCGTCCAATTGTTGATATTTCTCCCTGTTTCGATCTTTGGTTAAAACCTTCCATCTCCATAACACTTTCGCTCTTAGATATAACCATTTAGGCTTTATTGAGATGTGGCAGAAGAAAGGAAAGAAAATGCCATATTCTATAAGAGGTGGCCAAATCAATTATGGGAAAAAAAGACTATACTAGAAATCAAATCGTATTATTAAATACGCCAACAAAAAGAAGATAGAGGTGCAATGATAATTAATGGAGTTTTTTTTGCGTATGCCAATGGGGGAGAAAGCCCTTAAACGTTTTTCATTAATAAAAATGGAGAAAATACAACTCAAAGGGTTACAACCTTCGTTAATAAAAATGAAGAAAATACAACTCAAAGGGTTACAACTTATAGTAAGGCAATTGTGCCAAAGATAGTTAATGGTGTTCATGAAGCCTTTATGGCTATACTCCAACAATGTATAAATTTAGGATCTAGTTAACCCCAACCTAGACCAAATTTGACCCTATAAGATCTCGGATGGACCTTAGACCACAAGTGTATTGGGTTTAAGTCAAATGGACCCAAACCTATCTTGTTGGGTCCAACATCTATATCCTGGCCGACATTTGGGAACAACATCAGTGTTCAAACCCGATTCAGCGACCTGATACGATTGTCATCCCTAGTGCATTAAAGTTTGTAAATGGTCACTAACAAAGATACGAAACTTTTCAAATAACAAAATAACCCTTGGTCTCGGGGTGGGCCATCAACACTTGAGAATGGTCTATTGAGACCACTCTAGCCATATTAGGGGTGGTAATGGGTGGGGTTCCGGGTCCGGGTCTAGATTCAAATCTCGGTCGGACCTAGATCCGACTGAACCTGATCCAAAAATTAAAATATCTATGTAAATAATTATATTTAAATATATTTCTTATATTGGGACCTGAAAAATATTACTGGACTCAATCTCAGACCTAGACCAGGACCAAGACCCAAATAGTATTCAGGTCCAAGATTTGGACCCTGATCCGACCCACTGAGTCCAACTTTTGGACCCATACCCGGACTTGGATCGGGTCTAGTCCTCTGTTCCAAGGTCGGTTCTGGATCCATTGCCACCCCTAAGTCAATAACCATTTAAATTGGTTGGGAAAGTCGGTATTCCTTAACTGGAAGGACATGGGAGGTCGAAAATAGGATTGATTGGTAGGTTGATTTTTTGGTACCTAATGAGGAGAGCTTCCATTTTTTAAATAAAATAATAATAATCAAAGAAATATTTTGACCCAACTAGGACCATCCAAATGATCCAATCAACAATTCCACATATATTTCAAATTTGTGCCTCTCTCTCTCTCTCTCTCACAGAGAATACACGATCTTTGAGTGGAGGTATTCGTACCATCCCAACTATGATCTGACTGTTGATGAGGTGCTAGCATGCTGTGCTCTACGAGAATAGAATGTAGCATAATGCAGTGACATAAAAGATTAAGAGCACAAATACCATGCTTTTGTGATCTACTTCTTGTAGAACTGGCAGTGGAGTTGGGCCAACCATGTTGCTAGTCCCTCTATGGTTGGTCAAGCCCGGTCTGGTCCTAATTGGGCCAAGGAATCCCTAGCCTTGGCCCGACACTAGCCTTGCTTGGGCCTAGATAGGCTATGCTGGGCCTAGTGCACTAAAAAAAAAAAATATCGGTTGGGTAGGGTCGGGTTAAGCTGGCCTTGTCATGCCCCAAGCTCAGGCTGGCTTGGCCGGGCACCGCCCTCAGGTCACCTGGCAAATTGCCAACCCTAGGTCTATGAAAACCGGTTAATTGCCCCTAATTATTATGGATTTGAAGTTTTTAGTATTTTTCAGGGCTCTTTGTTAGTTAAGCCGGGAGAATCGACATATTTAACTTCGGCCGTTGCATGAATTTTAAAAAGAAAAAGCTTATATAGAGCTGAGGCTCTAAACAATCAAATTAGAGCGCACTTCAAAATTTTCATTAGAAGAGGTCGTTTTGATGCTTAAATATCCTCAAGTTAATCATCTCGACATCAAGACACATAGTCATCAGAAAAAAAAAAAAATGATTTCAAGTTTTGGAAATAGTGCATCTT